TGGGAGACTCCCGCCGCCGCCGCTGCCGCCTCCGCCGCCGCCGCCGCTGCCGCCACAACTTGGCCCATTTAAACGGCCCCGGCGCGGCGGGCGGGCGCGGGCTCCGGCTGGGGGTGCGTGACGGACGACAGGCTCATATGGCGAGGACGGCAGGAACGGTCTGCATACTCTGCCTTATTCTCGAGGGGGTCGGGGCCCGAAGGAAGGGAGGCTCCGGGAGGCGGATGCAGGCGAGACGGCGCGCGCAGATCGCGCCTTTGTCGACTAGGGTCACTTCGCCAGCTGCTGATATCGGAAAACTGGAGTCCTGAACTCCACGTGGGGAGCGCTTGGGGGAGGGGCTGCCCATTGATCTCCTTAGCCGGTGGAGAGTGTGTGGGTGGGAACTGGTGGTGTGAGGCAGGCTGGTCTCTGTCAGACTAAAATTTGTGATGTGTGGCCTCAGTCTCCATTTATTGAGTATCTGTGTTTTGTGACCAATAATGATAGCAATTTTGCCATTTGCTACACCCTTACTTGATGAGCCTCTCACTTTGAGGTTTCCATAATACCCCATTTCTGAGACCGGGAAACTGAGACACAGAGAGGTCAGGCAACTTGCCCAGCATCACATGTTGTTGTTGTTGTTGTCAGGTGCCATCGAGTCAGAACCGACTCATAGCGACCCCATGCACAGCAGAACGAAACAATATCCGATCCTGGGCCAACCTCACTACCGCTGCCATGCTTGACACCATCAATGATGCCACCTGGCCAATCCATCTCACTGGGGTCTTCCTCTTTTTCTCTGACCCTCCATCTTACCCAGCATGACATCCTTCTCCAGCGACTGTTCCCTCCAGACAGTATGTCCAAAGTCTGAGAGACGAAGCTTAGCCATCTTGGCCTCCAAGGAGCAGTCTGGCTGCACTTCTTCCAAAACAGATCTATTGGTTCTTTTGGCACCCCATGGCACTTTTAGTATTCTCCTCCAACACCACAATCCAAAGGCATCAATTCTTCTACAGTCTTCCTTATTCACCGTCCAGCTTTCGCATTCATATGAGGTTATTGAAAATGCAAACTCAGACCATTTGACCTTATGTTAGCTGGAGGACTCCACCCAACCTAGAATGAGGGGCCTATTTGACTCCTGATGGGCTGCTGTACCCACACACATCGCCCTCACTCCAGCATCCAGGCAGAATCTAGGATTAGCTGGTAAGACCTGTTTGTCTTTCTCTGGGCAGGTCAAGTCAGACAAGCTGAAAGATACTCACCCACCCAACACCTAGTAGAGGTCCCTCTGCCAGACTCTGACCCACTTGGCCCCTCAATAATGGGTCAGTGTCTTGGTGTACCTTGGTATGGTGCCCCTATGTGTATATCCTTAACCCAAGCTCTGCATAGGCCCATATCCACAGCACCTTCTTTGAGGAAGGGACTGTGAGCAGGCTCAGGAAATACCCCCACTCCACCCACCTACCATCTACCAGAGGCCAGAACCAGCCAGGCAGATGGTTTGAACACCAAGACCACTCACTTTCCCTCCACTGACTCACTCTCAGCAGCCACCATACCATGGGCCCCACGACTGAACCAAATGGAGGATGGGATTCAAGGGGCTGATCTAGGGCCCCAGTGACCAGCCGCTGGAGTTGGGGTTGCTCACTGCACATCCCAGGCAGGAGTGTGTGTGGGTATGCGGTGACCCCTCGCTCCGCTGCCTATCAGCAGCCTAGATGCCTGCAGGTGGGTACCTCAGGTATGACAGATTACCTAGGTTGCCCAAGTAGACAGCTCACAGACTGCAGGTTGCGTTACCTCCACCCCCAACCTCATAGTCTTCCCTGTTCTCTCCTTTGAAGCCTGAGATTGGTGAGTGGCTGTCTGCCCAGCTGGACGCCAAATGACCCTGGGCCCCTGCCCCTGTGAGCACCAGCAGGAACTGACCCCTGACCTAACACTGTGACTTGGGAGGGAGGGCTGAGGTCCACAGTTTTCCTGACCCCAGTATGTCCCCTCACCTGAGAAACACCTGATCGACTTCAGGCCTGCAGGGTCAGGCCTCCAGCCTGCTGGTGGGAGCCTTCACCCACTCCTCACCAAACTGAACCTTGCTTCTGAGCTGGTTTCGCCTTGCTTTCCGAGTGCTGTTAGGCAGGGCACAGGCCTGACTCTGGTTTCAGGGAGAGGAGGCTAGCTGGTTAGGGGTGAGGTGAGAATTTGGGAAAGGTCTAACCTAGATCCCCCATCCTGGCCTCAGCCTTCCTGAAGGATCAGGGTCTCTTCCCAAAACATCCCCTACTGGGTGCAGAACTCCCTATGAGACTCTCTCCTCAACCCAGGGGTTACACAGGGCCTTGACCTGTTAATTGCTGTCACTGCCCCTCTGTTCAGTATCAGGCCCCTCCCCCGGGGACTCCCACACCTGTGAGAGCCTGCACCTTCCTGCCTACTTCTCCAACTGGAGGCAGATGACAACAGGCAGAGTTTTGAATCCAGAGTTGCCCCTACCTCAGTTGCCCCTACCTCAGCTCAGCATTCTGACAGCACGAGTAGGACCCTGGCCACAGCCTGGTGCCTACTCTGGCTGAGGCTCCACCTGCCAGGTCTGGGCGCCAGCTGGTCGTCGCTGCTCGTGAAACCCCGCTCAGGGCCCCTCCTCTGCTGGGCCGAGGCCGAGCCACCACTGCTGCCAGGGGAGGGAGGAGAGGTCATAAATAACCAGAGGGCTACAGCCCCAGGCGGGGCAGACAGTGACCAGAGACATCCCAGAGGAGCCTTGGGGACATCCTCCTGGCCCCAAGGCCCCCAATGTTCTGCTAGTATTGACCACCCCTTTCCCACCCCATCCCTTATTCTGGAGTTCCGGCCCACCCACTCTATACTTAATGCTCCTCTACAGTCCCCTGTTGATTCGTCAATCAATCAATCAATCATTTAT